GGGGCAGTTGATAGAGGTGGTCAGACAGTACACACAGGCCCCGGGCGCTGTCTTCTCACACACACATGCAGTGGGGGCAATAGATGGTGGGGGTCGGGCAGTTGATGGGTCAGGCAGCGCACACACAGGCCCCGGGCGCTCACACACATGCAGTGGGGTAGTTGACAGTGGGGGTCGGGCAGTTGTTGTCACACCTGATCTCCGGGATCGGGCTCGGCGCTCCAGCACCTTCCAGCCCAGGTCCGCCAGTACCTGAGACATACTGTCCGGCAGTGCCGTAAAGCGCCGCCCCCGGTGTCGTAAAGCGAGGAGCTGCGGTGATAGAAGCCGGAAGTGAGTGTGTCTGTGTGATGGGGGAGCTGTCAGTGCCGAGGGGTCCCACCATCCTCATCCCCCTCTTCTTCCTCCTCTTGGTGTCACCGGTCCGGGGGTCTCTCCGCACTATCACCGGGGATGTGCTGGGCTCGGATCCCCGAGGGAGGATCGCCGCCTTCGGGGACTTCAACGCCGATAAACAGACCGATCTCTTCATCGTACGAGGCGGTGAGTAGCGAACGGTGCTAGAGTGTCAGCTCTGCGGGCAAGGCCCGGCCTCCGGTGTCTGTCTGTGATCTGTAGTGTCAGAAATGGCCGCAGACCCAGATCCTAATATTAAAGTGTCAGCTCTGTAGAGAAGGCCCGGCCTCTGGTGTCTCTGTGGTGTCTGTATGATAAGTGATAAGAGTGTCAGCTCTGCAGACAAGCCCCGCCGCCTGGGGTCCCTCAGGACTCTGTAGCTTTATATATAAAGGGAAGGGGCCAGATCTGATGATTAGAGTGTCAGCTCTTGTGTGTCATGAGGGGCCCCTTTTCTCCTGTTTTGGGTGTCATGAGGGGCCCCTCTTCTCCTGTGTTGAGTGTCATGAGTGGCCCCTCTTCATCTCTGTTGGGTGTCATGAGTGGCCCCTCTTCATCTCTGTTGGGTGTCATGATCTCTGTTGGGTGTCATGAGGGCCTCCTCTTCATCTCTGTTGGGTGTCTTGAGGGGCCCCTCTTCTCCTGTGTTGGGTGTCATGAGGGGCCCCTCTGTAGAGATGCACCAAGACCAGTATTGGTGCGAATACTGGGCATTTTAATGAGTACTCCTGAAACTGCCCCAATACTAAGCTCCGACAATTTGTAAACACAATCGGCTGTCGTAAGGTCACGCGCTTTCTGTGGACCACAGGCCACCTGAGAGCCCCGCACAGCCCTTCCTCCTGAGAGCCCGCACAGGCCAGATGAGAGCCCGCACAGCCCTCCTGAGAGCCCGCACAGCCCTCCTCAGAGCCCAACTGGATTTATATCTTTCCTTACTGTTGAGGAATCAATTTTAATAAAGTTTTTGTGTCCGGAGTTCAGCTTTATTCATCATTTCTCTCCTCCTGGCTCCACCTGTCACGCTGGCTCCGGGTTGCAGGGCGTGGTGTTGGCTTGTGTACCTTTGGTGAGGCAGTTTGAACAGATACAATGAACACAAATTTCATTTATTTATTTAAGTGACTTGTCACGTCGTGTTCACAGATGTGGAAAATGTATGTGAGAGATACGGAACATTCACTCATCGGCTTATGTGGTGGGGGGAGTGATTGGCCAGCAAAAACCCGACCATCAGATCATTATATCCCCCCAAGAATGCACCACGGCCAAATGTCCGCCTGGTCTTGTCTCCTTCCCCTCCTGTAATGAAGACCGCTGACTGCTACTCTCTCTCCTTGTGCAGGGTGACTGGACTTGTCTCCGCCCCCTGCTATAATAAAGACCGGCCACTGCCGCTCTCTCTTCTTGTGCAGGGGGACTGGACTTGTCTCCGCCCCCTCCTGTAGTTTTTTTTTTTTTTTCAGCATGTTCGTTTTTATTGATAGAATAAATGGTAACAATGCAGGTAAACTCCAAAGTGAAACAACACATGGATCAAGTAGCAGTGCGCAGACTGCGATCCAAAAATGTAGCTCGATTGCATGTGAACAGTAGTAAGGATTAAACATATCAACATCTGTTGGAACTACTTCAAAAATGTCTCTGTACTGCATGCAGCTGCGCTGGAACAACTATAACTGGTGAACCCCAGTGCCGTGAGGGTCAGGACTCTGGGTAGGGTACCTTATCTCCATAATGTGAGAGCTCGTGGGCATGGCGGACGGGTCTAACCTCCGTATGATCAGTATGCAATGACCGTTAAGAGTGATTATGGGAATGCTAGGGACCGAGGACATCCAGTGGACCCAGGGAGCCAGTCAGTTTGGCCTCTAGATACCATTTAGATAATCGAAAAATGGACATCAAATCTTGCAATTGTAGTGAAAATTCTGCCGCAACATATGATGTCCAAGTGTCGAAAAAGGTTGTAGTACGCGCTTGGTTAAATTTTGTATCTAGTTTGTCCGACAGCAATAGTCGATTGAGCAGGGGGCGAAAGGTGTCCATAGAAGGGGATTCTGGTACAATCCAGTTGCACAGAATTGCTTTCTTCGCTGTCAGAAGACAAAGGTGCTCCCAACGGGTCGGGTGAGAGGGATCATCCCCTGCGCACAAGGTAGGGGCGTGTAGTAGGCAGAATGCAGGGGACAGTTTTCTCAACGTGTGGGAGTGGGAGTTCATGAAATTTAATATTGTGGACCAGAAGGATTGAATGTTCGGGCATGACCAGAGTAGGTGTGAGAGGTCAGGTAGAGGGAGACTGCATTTCGGGCAGGCAGTTAACCATTTGGAGTGGGAGTTCCTAGCCGGAATGTTGAAAGCATGATATGCCCTATGTACAGTTTTGAAATATATCTCGCGCCAGGCTTCGTTTATTATAGCTTTCCTGATTTGTTGCCAGCCCGTCGTCACCATCGAGCATATGTCTTCTGTGGACACATTCAAGAATTCCGCCCATCGCTTAATATGGGAGGGAACGGATGAGGTGGTTTCAAATATAGAAGTCACTACCTGGCGGGCGATAAGGGACAAGGGCATCTTTACCTGGGGAGATGAGAGCAAGGGGTCAAGCGGTGGGTTAATAACTTCTCGCCAAGGCAGAGATAGATGACTGGATATAAAATGACTCAGTTGTAGGTATGGGTAACTATGGGCGGTTGGGATCTGGTATTGGGTGCAGAGTTCCTGGAAGGTCTTGAGGCGCCTCTCCTGTAGTTTTCTGCAAGGCAGCCTGTAGAGGGAGGAGCTTCCTGTAATAAAGACTACTTTATCACTGTGCTGCTCTCTCTCCTAGTGCAGGGTGAATGGTCTTGTCACCACCCCCTCCTAGGTTCTTGTGGTAGGAGGAGCTCTCTGCATAGGCTATGTACAGCACAGTGATGATGTCACTGCTACTTTACAAGGCGATATCTGGGTTTTTACAGGCATTTGGTGCTCACAAAGTGGATTTATATCCTTTGTGGCCATTGAGGAGTACATTTAAATAAAACTTTTGGTGTCCTGGAGTTCAGCTTTAAACGCCCCAAACACACTGGGAATAATTGCAGCAAATACATAAAGCAGGGATAGGCGACCTCGGCACTCCAGCTGTTGTTGAACTACAAGTCCCACGAGACAGACATAAGTCCCAGGGACACATGCATCATGGGATTTGTAGTTTAACTACAGCTGGAGAGCCAAGGTTGCTTACCCCTGTACTATGTATAGAAACATGTCTGCAAATATTGGACTCCGGCTGCCATTTTGTTTGAGTTCTAAATGTCCTCTCACTAACACCTCGTGGGCTACCTGGGGCAGGCGGGCCATTAGCTGTTCAGACACACCAACATTGCCATGAAAAAAAGGGGCAGCAAGCGAAGTAAAGATGTAAAAGTCACATCAAGAACGGTTATAACCAATAATATGGACGCCATGGTGGTTTCTAGTCAGGATCTGTTAAATGAAAACTATGGGGTTAAGTCTTTTCCCCATAGTTCGCCTTAGGGTAACGGGAGCACACAAACTAACGTCCTCCCGTCACCCTAGGCTCAGTATACCGCGAGCTGTAGCTCACTATATACTGAGACGCCGCAGCTGAAGCGGATCCAGACAATTGTGGCATATCTACTGAGCCGACCTGTGGCAGTCTCATTGTCACAGGTCGGCTGGAACTATGAGGTGAGTGAAAAGCACTTTAAGGAGCGCTGACATCATCACATCTTATACAGGTCTTGCATTAGACATGAGGACGCCAGGGGGCATTCCACAGCTGGAGCGGAGGTGAGCACAGACTGCTACAGGACGGAGGATCAGGTGAGTGGATCTGCTGTATTTGAGCCCCCTGGATAATATGAGCAGTTGACCCAGAGGTGAACAACGCAGTACGGGAGATTCAGGGCCAGCCCGTCCTAACCCTTAGCCCTCATTCACACGAGGAACAGCCGGCCCATACAGGCCCATGCTGCGTGCACGGTTGTATCGGGCCGCTCCAGGGAAGGACAGGTGCTGCGTGTGCTTTGTATGCAGCAGCCTGTCCTTTACGGGAGTAGGTGGCTGTACGCCGCCGTACGCTCACCTGAACTGCACGTCCGTGCGAGTGTCCCTGCTCGAACGCAGACAGGATCCATCATGTCAGCGTACGAGTACGGGCACCCACGCGGACGTGCAGTTTGGGTGAGAGTAGGGCAGCGTACAGCCACCTACCTGCACTGTGAAAGCTGTGCCCAAAAAGGAAGCAGAGGGCCAAGGGCTAGTATTGTCTGAGGTCTCCCATCAGATGATCTTTTCCCCATTACTGGTTTGCCATGCCTTGTTCTGCACTGTGTCTCTGTGTGGATGCGGCCACCTTGGTAGAAGGAGCAGGGTTTTGCCTTCTCGGGTCATGGCTGTCCTCCTAATGACCGGTGATCTAATAACTGGTGATCCGATGAACGGTGATCTGATACTGACCTAATGTCTGATATCTGGTAATCTGATGACTGGTGGGGACATATTCTGGAAGCAGAGGGAGAGATGGAGTAATCTGATATCTGGTGATCTGATGACCGGTATTCTGATATCTGGTGATCTGATGACCGGTATTCTGATATCTGATGACGGGTATTCTGATATCTGGTGACTGGTGACCGGTATTCTGATATCTGATGACGGGTATTCTGATATCTGATGACCGGTATTCTGATATCTGGTGACTGGTGACCGGTATTCTGATATCTGATGACGGGTATTCTGATATCTGGTGACTGGTGACCGGTATTCTGATATCTGATGACGGGTATTCTGATATCTGATGACCGGTATTCTGATATCTGGTGACTGGTGATCTGATGACTGGTGGGGATATTATTCAGGAAGCAGCAGGAGAGATGGAGGAACTTTGGCCAACGTGAGTCTGTTTTTCTTTTCTAGGAGTGAAGGAGTTGTGATCACCAGTGTGGTTCCTGGAGATTATAATGGCGATTCACAGATGGATGTTTTGCTCACCACCATACCCAGAGCACAAGTTGGTAAAGAGCCGTCACTGTCAATCGTCATCTACTGGGGACAGAATCAGACTCTCAGTAAGTTAGACGACCTGTCACACGTCTTTTGTGTCATTAACGTCATTTCAAAAGTCATCTTGAATTCTGCAGCTTCCAACCGCCATGAATTTCATTGTTCGGGCACTTCCTGTTATAAGGTGACAACAGGTCCCTGTTTTCCTATTGTGATCCATCATTATCACTTGAACGCAGAGTTCAGAAGCCGATTAATCGATGATTGAAAAAGTTGACAACTTTTTCAATAATCGATTATAATCGATTATGTCGATTAGTTGTTGCAGCCCTAGTAGGCAACCTCAGCACTTAGGTTGTTGTGGAACTACAAGTCCCATGAAGCATTACAAGGCGCTGACAGCCATAGTCATGACTCCCAGAGATAAAAGCATGATGGGATTAGTAATTTCATCACAGCTGGAGTGCCGAGGTTGCCTACCCCTGCATTCATGTGTTTAAAGCTTATATACAATTTTACTGATTGGGCTTACATACTCTAATTCAGGGGCAGGCAACCTCGACACTCCAGCTATGGCAGGACTACAATTCCCATGAGGCATTGCAAGACTCTGACAGCCCCAGGCATGACTCCTATTGACAGAAACATGATGGGATTTGTAGATTCAGCACAGCTGGAGTTCCGAGGTTGCCTACGCTGATATTTTTCTGGGTTGTGGGAGGAAACCCAAGTAAGAAATTTAAGTTTACATGGAAAGAACATACGAACTCCGCACAGCGTCTCGGGGAGGAAATTCAGCCCAGAGCTTTCATGTCACATCACTGTGCAGCTTATTGCTTTATGCATGCTAGCATGTTAGACAAAAGGAGGCAGAAAGATGGTGGTTAGTCGTCGGCGGGGGCATTTTGCTGCTCATGCACATGGGCACAGTGGGGGCATACAACATATAATTTGGGCTTTTATCTGCACCTGGGAAGCCCAGGTGCTGTCTTCTGCCTCCTATAGACTTGAATGGTTGTGCGTGACTGTATGTGGGTGTACGCCAGTACTCATGTAAACCCATGTACAGTGCTGGCCTTCTGCATTCAGGGCATGCCCCGGTATGCGAGTTGGCCCTTTAATGTATGTTTAATAGAAATCCCATTGTGCTGCAGGTTTACTGCGGCTACGATCCCTGTGTACGAGGTCAATCTCTGGCATTCATTTTGACTTATTCTAAAGGTAGAAGTCTTAAAGGAGAAGTATGGGGTCAGTGTTTTTCCCCATAGTTCTCCTTGGGGTAACGGGAGGACACAAACTAGCGTCCTCCCGTCACCCTAAGCTCAGTATACCGCGAGCTACAGCGAGCGGTATACTGAGACGCCGCACCTGGAGCGGATCCCGACTTAGATGACGGGATCCACCCAGCTGCGTGAGTGACAGCTGGCTCTGCCTATCTAGAGGCAGAGCCAGCTGTACCCGCCCCCTCCCCCGTCCGTTCCGCCAGTCAGTGCTGGCAGATCGGAGCGGGGAGAGGGGAATCCAGCCCCTCCCCCTGTCACGGCAGAGAGCCGTGACAGGATCGAGAGGTGAGGGAACCCGGTATGTGTTCTCTCACCTCCCGATCTACTGAGCCGACCTGTGACAGTCTCATTGTCACAGGTCGGCTTAGAACTATGAGGTGAGTGGAAATCACTCATGTCATAGTTCTCCTTTAACCGTATTATCTTTTGGGGATAGAATTGGAACAATGGCGGGCACTGCATTTATTTTAATGAAGTGCGCTCGGGGCACGTCGCCGGGATTTTCTCTTTTTTGTTTCTTTTTTGTATCATGGCCGCGCTCTGTTTGCAGAGAAACAAAGAGATTTGTGCCGGTGGAGAGCGGTGCGTTTTTGTTTCTTGAACGGGCCTCGTCGGATCTAATGAAAGGAAGGCGAGGCTGACAAATTCTAATGAGGGGATCTGACGGTGCTTGGCTCCTGGCTTCGTCTCTGGAATTGTAATATATGCAGAATAATTGTCAAAATAACCGTGCCATGAAAAGGAAAGGATGGGTCTGCTGAACTGAAATGGGAAATTGATTTCCTTTCAGTTAATGAAACAGGCAATATTGATTTCTGTGTCGTCCCTCCTTCCCCTTTTATATGCCAATCTACAGAATATACTGATGCATGGCATGGGATGGGTCATGTGATCTCTCAGTAACTGTCACTGGGAGTGGGTCATATGATCTCTCGGTAGCTGTCACATGGGATCTCTCGGTAGGTGTCACTTGGGGTTGGTCATGTGATCTCTCGTTCGCTGTCACATAGGATCTCTTGGTAGCTGTCACTTGGGGTTGGTCATGTAATCTCTGGCATTGGCATGGGTCATGTGGTCGCTTATCATCTGTCGATAATAGCTGGGTATTTGATTTCCCATCAGTTGTCAACTGACATGGGTCATGTGATCACATATCAGCTTTCAGTAGGATTCAGGTATGTGATCTTCCATCAGTTGTCAGCTGGCATGGGTCATGTGATCACATATCATCTTTTAGTAGGGTTCGGGGATGCCCTTTCCCATCAGTTGTCAGCTGGCATGGGTCATGTGATCACATATCATCTTTCAGTAGGATTCATGTATGTCCTCTCCCATCAGTTGTCAGCTGGCATGGGTCATGTGATCACATATCATCTTTTAGTAGGGTTCGGGTATGCCCTTTCCCATCAGTTGTCAGCTGGCTTGGGTTGTATAAATGCTATTAAGCTGTTGCTGGGAGCGGGTTATGTGATATGACATTGGCAGGCAGTTCTTAAATATAATTTCAGCCATCGACAAGAGGGAGAGGTGAGGGCGCACAGAGTCCATTGAAATAAAAAATACACAAAACATCTCTCAGAGCAGCAAAGATCATTGTAGGAACCTGTTACGTTTAAGACTCACCAATTTCTCCAACATCTGTGTCATATGAAGATCCCCGTGCTTCATTCACCACCATATTATGACTTCCTTCATTTATTGATATGCAGTCAGGTCAGTGTGATATCTCTTGTTGCATTTATTTCTTTTTTAGATCTAAATCAAAAGATTCAACTGAACACGACCTACACAGACGAGCCCCTTATAATAGAGTAAGTATGTCTCCTTATAAATATCAGTTGCTGTAAAATAACCAGCTTTTGCCATCTCACTATAATGCTCTGTATAAGCATGCCGTTCTTTCCTGTTCAATCTGCTTATGTTTTGCCTTTCCTGGTCCCGTCCCGCCCCGCCCCGCCCCCCCTCATCAATATGCAAATTACTTGTTTTAAATAAAACCTTTCAGTTTTATTACATTTCTTATTTTAGTCACGGTGATGTCTTTATCATTAGGCAGATCATGGCTGGTGGGAGGGGCCAGCTTCATAGCTTCCTGCGTCAGTACTCCTCTCAGCCCTGATGCAAGCAGTGGGTGGGCTCTTGGGCGGAGTTATGCAAATATCCAAATTACCTGATTTGTCAGTCTGGAGGTCGGGCGATCCTATGTACATTGTATCTGCATGCAAACCGCCCCAGGTATTGTCCACATGTGATGTCGATCCTCCATGACTGAACTGAATTGAAATTCAATGAATGAGAGGAGCCGGCCAGGGACAGTCAGGCTGGGGAGGAAAGAATGATGCTGGATGTCCTCCAGCCAGAATATGAAGTGGGTTCTATCTGAGTTGCTGCAGCTTGTAATGCACATTGTGAGAAGCTCTCAGTATGCAGTCCAAGCCATTTCAGTCCAGGAGAGGAGCCGTTACAGCTGTGCAAGACTGAAGGGAAGGACAGAGGTCGGGTATAAAACTGAATGGAAGGACGGAGGTCAGGTATACGACTGAAGGGAATGCTGGGGTTCAGATTTAAATGTCATCTGGTTGTTCAGGTCCAGAGTTAAACCCTTTACTGGAGTGTCAGCTCTTCAGACAAATTGACTGCTTGTGTTTATTGTCTAAGGCTGGAGTTCAGCTTTAAAGTGAAACGGTCAACGGCTGACATCCTGTGGGGTGCTTGCAAGTACATGTTATAATCTTCAAATATAGAGTCTCTGGAGTCCACACGGCTTTGACTTCTATCCAAGCTGATGCTAAGCCCCGCCTCCTCAAATCCCTGCCAGTACAGTGTCAGCACCTCTAGTGACCACTGATTTTTATAGGGTAGCACTTTTAAATCTCCGGGCCATGGCTTATTGCTAGGAAGGGACAGGCTTGGTGCCAACTTGTTCAGAAGTGGTATACATGTTCTCATGCTCAGAGTTCCACCTTAAACAATCAATCTCATACTAATTTTGCTAAAAATGGTCATTACTCTAAAAGCCATTTGCTGGGCATTGCAGTCTGCACTTGGACAGAAGTGGTATCCAGCTTGGCTCGGGAATCCATGGGCATTCCAGGCACCCAGGGATGGTTCATCTGGGTACTTAGATGTTTGGCTTCTAATACTCTTCACCTTCAACTTATTTTGGGATCAGCCCCGTCCCTGTCATGCTCTGAATGTCAGTCTTCATTCAAGAACATCTGAACCATCTCCACACTATTTATGATATTTTTCTTTTTCTTTTGCTCTTTCAGCTTTAATGGAGACATGATTCCTGATATCTTCGGAGTGCCCACTGGAAGCTCCACTCCTGTCATTACATACGGCGGGTAAGATCACACAAAACTGGCGTCATTTTTAATGCATTATGAAATGTGTCTCTAATGTGTATGTAATGGATGTCTATGATCTCTGGGATACAACGCTGCCATTAAAATGATCTAAAGGAAACATTCACTCCTTTACTTAATCCCGACGTCCCCGGGGCCATACTGTCCAACATGACAGCACTGTGAGTGGGTCAGCTTTTACACCCCAGGGAACTGGTGGAAGGATAGGTAAGCAGAGTAGTTTTAAAGCATTATGGTGGCCAACCTACTGGTCGAAATGTGCCCAGCGTGTGGCCCCCTTGAAATCACCCCCTCCATTCAGCAAAAGTTTTTGTTAAAGGAGAAGAGAAGTTCATTGTTAGGTTTTCATTCTTTATTTAAGTATTTACCGACAGAACGAAGAACAAAACAAAACAAATAAACAATATACAATGACCATATGTAATAAAATAGGTACTGTAATGTAAATATTCAGTGAAATCAGAAACGTTGTTCTCATGCTCAGATTTCCACTTTAAATAGTCAGTCCCATGCAAATCAGGGGTCCAGCAGCAAGGACCCAGAAGAGACCGCCAGCTCCCGTTGACATTAGGCTAAGCAAATGGCAGCATTGGATCTGGTGTCCGGCAGCAGATAAGAGCATTACAGTGCTGGATTTGCTGGTCATGTGTGTATGTTTGTTATGCAAAACCCAGTGGAAGAGGTACGACCGAGGAGGTTAAAAACAAAATGAACCGGGGGGCTTCCCCTTTAGTGTCCATGGTTTTGGAAAAGGGTGTCCAACCAGCTCATTTAAGTGTCAGGCAGAAAAGTTAGCCAGCTCCTGATGGCGTAAGGCAAAGCAAATGGCAACACCGGATCTGGTGTACGGCAGAAGAACAGCGCAGGATTTGCTAGTCGTGTGTGTATGTTAATGGTGCGAAACCCACCGGAACAGCTACGAGGTTAAAAGCAAAATTTACCTGGGGGGGGTCCCTTTAATGTCCAGGGTTTTGGAAAAGGGTGTCGAACAAGCTCATATAAGTGTCGGCCGGAAGAACCCAGAAGAGACAGCCGACTCCCAATGATGTAAGGAAAGCAGATGGCAGCGCAGGATCTGGTGTGTGGCGCCGGATCAGAGCTGGACAGCACTGGATTTGATGGTCGTGTGTCTGTTAATTGAGCAACATCGAATGGTAATGGTACAACGGGGTGGAAAGCAAAATTAATCTGGGGGGGGGGACCCTCTTTAATGCCCATGGGTTTGGAATAGGATAGGAATAAGATGTCCAACAAGCTCATATAAGTGTAATAGCCAAGTGTCACCAAGCTTGTGGCCATATACTGTAAGTATTCCATAAGCGCAAGTACTCTGGCCAAAGATCTTTGTTCACATGCTTAGAGTTCCACCTTAAACAGCCAATCCCATGCAAACTTTTGCTGCAAAGGATTATTACACTGAAAACCATTGGCTGGGCATTGCAGTAGGCGCTATCTAAATATAGACATAAAGACATGCATCTTGCCTAATGTTCTCCCCCTATACACATGAAACAAATAGCACTTCTTTTCAGCAGCGTCTGGCAGGCCGCCCGTTGTTTGGTAAAAGAGGAATCACAAGTCACTTGTCACCTTTAATGAATTGGAGCTAATCTATTTATATGCGGCGGCGTTTCGTTGGGAGCAGCATGCACACCTCTCGCTGTAGGTGCTAGCGGCCCTGTGACAGCTCGTACATAATGCATATCCACATCTACGGGGCCCCTCGCAAGTACACAAGAAGCCTCTCTCAATGTGTGGCGTCCTCTTTATTTCCCCTGGGCTGTTGTTCCTCTCGTTACCGCCACGGTGAGAGCACTCGATTAAGATTTGAGAAGTCAATCAGATCTCCCTCAGATGGAATCCCGCTGTTTTCCCACATACTGCATCTCGGGGAGTTTTGAAGGCAAAGACGCCAACAAATTCTGGGATTAGGCTGAGAAATTCATCAAATGAGATATATTAATGCCGATTAATTGCGGTGTGATTACTGCAGATGTTCTTCTAACAAGTTGTAGGAAGAGACTTGGCAGCGGCTTTTCTCTTTTTAAGTCTTCATTGTGCATAACTAGTTACAAAAAAATGTAAGAAGGTAGAAAAGGCAGACAAAGTACTCGGCTCTTCCACTCACAAGGTTTTGTGAATATTGGAATTATCACTTTAGAGTAAACCTGCCAAAAACCCCGGGGAGTTCAAATTGAGTGTATGATGCCAAAATGACATAAGCCGGGGGACAGGTTTCCTTCACAGTAAACGTATGACAAAGCTGAGGATGTGATGAAACAATAGACAGACAAAAAGAGTTACCCTTTCATGAAATTCCAAATGTTAAAACAAAGATCGAGGCAGCTGCAACCATAGTGATGCTGAAGGACAGAGAGAAGATGAATGGATGAATAATACAAGTCATGAGGTCACATTCCCTTAAGTGTTTAAAAATGTAATATATTTCTTTTATTTCTCTCTCCTTATTCAATAGTTATAGCCGGTTATCACTTCTCTCTTGCCTCTCTTTCCTCTGTTCTATCTCTCTTTTGCAGTCTATTCCCCTCTTCTCTTTCTCTTCTCTCTCTGTCTGTCTCTCTTGCAGTTTCCCCATCTCTCTCCATTGTACTTCTCTCTCTCCCTCGCCTCCATTTATCTTCTGTATTTTTTTCTATTTCTCTCCTCTCTCTCTCTCTCTCTCTCTCTCTCTCTCTCTCTCTCTCTCTCTCTCTCTCTCTCTCTCTCTCTCTCTCTCTCTCTCCCTCCTTCTCTCTCGCTCTCCCTCCTCCCCCCCCCCCCTCCCTCCCCCTCTCTCCTCTCGCTCCCTCTCTCTCCTCTCGATCTCTCTCTCTCCTCTCGATCTCTCTCTCTCCTCTCGATCTCTCTCTCTCTCCTCTCGATCTCTCTCTTCCTTTTTATTCTCTTTTTCTCTCCCCCCCCTTCAGACTGGCAAGCGTTGTTGGAGGTGCTCCAATGGACTTGGATTAGGTGCTTACATCATCCCTGGTTGAATATTTCTGTTCTCTCTCTCTCTCTCTCTCTCTCTCTCCTCCCTTCTTTTCCTCTCCTTTTTCATGATCTACTTGATCCTGTGGTTTTTCTACGTATTCCTTTTGTTAAAAGTTTGGTGTGTTGACCCTAAGTCTCCACCAACCTAACCTCCTAGTGATAGCATGGTAGCATAAAGGCACAAACCACCTATTAAAATAAATAAAGCCTTTACCATGGGAAGAACTAGGTACAACACCTACCTCCCCCACCCTTGCTGCATTGTGTTTCCTCCCTACAGTAAAGTTGCGCCTTAAACCCTGCTACGCTTTCAGCCTGCACCCAGGTCGGCCGTCATCGGCGTTCTCTCAACGCTGTCATGTTTTTCCGCCGCGGTTTCAGGCCGGGTAATCTATTCTAATGAAGATCAGATCGGTTCCTGTACGCCGATACATTTAACTCCCTGTGACAGCTCCCTCTTGTTCCATCTCCTGACTTGTTTTTCTCACAGCTCTGTCCTCGTTATGCTCGAGCCTCGCCGCCTTCCCAGAATTGATGGGATATTTACTGCATGAAGCGTTTTTTGAAGTCGTACGTACTGTGAGCATAAATCAAACCCGTTCATGCAGCATCTCGGAGAAAATGTATGTGCCTTGAGCGTATTCTCCTTCTAGGGTTTCTATAAGTGAATATTAGAAGCTTTTCATTATCGGCTCATTATGTTGGATGAGGGAGACTGTAGTGAGGGGGGATTTTCCGCAGTAGCAATTTTATTTGCCAGCGATACGGTTAAAGGCACATCGGCCTCTTCTTTGCTCGCTCGGGCTCAATGCAGAAAACATACACACCGGATTGAAATGTGTGTTTCACCTCTGTGATGTACGAATTCAAGGATTGTGTCTTTCCTGTTATGCAGCCTGAGCGTTCTGCAGCTGGCTACCCGTGTTTCATTCTTCTCTGGCAATTCACTTTTTTTTTTTTCTTTAACTGTAAAGAATTTTT